ATATTGAAACCCAAATGCTGTTGACAGGTCAGGGTGAGTCCTGACATTTCCTACTTGTGGACTGTCAAGGCTAGCCCACCACAAGTGGTTTGATTTCCTAAATGGGCCTACAACTTGCAGTTGTTATCCTCCTCCTCCTCCTCTGTAGTCGAAGAGGACCAAAATGACATCACAAATAGTCAAATGGGATGGGTGATGTCTTTTAATTTGTGCATAAATTGGATTTAAGCGAGGCAGAGTGGCACAAAGTCATCAGCCTCATTGTCTCTTCTAGGGTCCTTAAAGTCCAGTGGCAAAACAAAAGTCAGGATGATGGGCAAAGATGGGATGACGTGGATGACACTGGCAACTTCAATGTCTGACCAAGCTCTAAGCGCTCCACAGCATTTGCTTCCAAAGTTTTCATGATCATCGGAATGAATTGTTCTTATCCACCCATTCCACCAGAGGAAGTCTTCTTATGCTTGGGGTAGACATCCCCTTAATTCATCAAAGGGTTTTTGCCTTTCGCTTACCTTCAACCTGATTTAGTCCATCAGCTGAGAACATTTTACGTGGGAGGGAAGCTGGGTGTGCTACAGCTTCTTGGAGCCATAAGTAAGAGTTGGGTGACAGGTGGACATCAAAAGTGGATGAACAGCCGTGAAAAGGGCTCAGCAGCCCTCCTACCAGAGCTGCTAGTCTTCCCTGGACATCCCAAATGCCCCAATTTGGTAACCTACCACTAGGCAGACTGCAGGGACTAGAGCCGGGGTTGGGAAAGCTGCAGCTTTGAGGCCACATGTGACCTTCTAGGTCCTCAAGTGTGGCCCTTTCACTGAATCCAAACTTCACAGAACAAATCAGGTTCCCCACCCCTGCCTGGCCACCCCCAAGAGACAAGTTTCATCTGAAAAATGAAAGCGCATTTTCCACTCAAATAATCTTTTGCTATAAAAATATAACTCTTTATTCAAGCAGTTAGACATGATGAGTCGCTAGCGTTAGCATAGCATTATATCAAAATATCCCAAACAGCTTAGAACGAGAACTATTGGTCCATAGATACTATAGGTACACCTAGGTACAAGTCAGGCTCTTTCTCACCAACCTTTAACAGTTGTGAGTTTTTATAAGCTGACAGATCTGGAGCTGGAAGGGACCATGGAATCAACCAGCCCAATCCCTTCATTTTACAGAGGAGCAAACTGAGGCCCAGAGAGGTTGAGTGACTTGTTCAGGGTCATAAAGGCAGCAAGGGGCAGAACAGAGATTTGAATCCATGCCTTTCAACTCTGAATCCAACGAAATGTTGCTTCAGGATTAGAACAGATCTTAATTCTTGCCCTGTTTTCTCAATGACTCTAAGTAGAGATCTTCAATTTATTTTTCTCTAACCTTTGGAGCTTTAGGAATAACTTCCTGCAGCTTGGAGGTAAAGTTTGTTCTTCCCCTTGCAATTATTTCAGCCCATTTTTGGTTAGTGACTGAAGAAATTCCCCAGAAGGCAATAGTTCTATTTTAGGATGAATTTTTCTTTTACAAACTGGTATCTCTCAGAGACTACTTTAAAAAAAATTCATAGGAACTTAGTTGCTGACAATTCTAGCCTATAGCATACAAATATGCAATTGTAGAATGTGAAATTTGGAAGACATCTGAGAACACAGAACATCAGAGTGGAACACATCTTAGAATATAGGGTGTCAGTGCTAGAAGTCTTAAAACAGAGAATATCAGGAGCTGAAAGGACCTTTAGAGCACAGGATGTCAGAGCTGGGAGGGGTCTTGGAACCCAGAATGTCAGAGCTGGGAGGGCCCTTAGAACACAGAATATCAGGGCTGGAAGGGCCCTTAAAATAAGGAATGTTAGAACTCTAATAATATATATACATACTGTTTTAAGGTTTACAAAGCACTGTCCTCACAATAGTACCATGAAATAGAATGATGCTAAAATACCCATTTTATAGAAGAAAATTTTGAACATTAGAGTGGATAAGTTGGAAGGTACTCAAGAGATCCCCTCAGTCCAAGGATTCTTATCCTTTTATGTGTCCTAGACTCCTTGGGCAGTTTGTTGAAGAGTATGGACCCCTTCTCAGAACCATGTTTTTAAATGCATAAGATAAAATGCAGTGTTACAAAGGAAATTGTCAATTGTGTTATATATTAAATATCAGACCAATTATATATTAACAATAATAGTTAATATATAATTAAATTATGTTTATATAAATAATTAAAATGAATAAATTAAATAATAAAATAATAATTAATCAGTTATAGTAAAATACAGTTATTAAAATTCTTTTCAAAAGGTCACAGAGCCCAGGTTAGACCCTTGTTCTAGTCCAAACTGTCCCTGAGCAGCTGGTATCCTTCCCAACATTTGAAACAGGTGGTAAATGATTTGGAACTCACTACTAGGACTTGACTTTTTTTTTTTAAAGGCTGCTCAAAGTTCATTAGTTTCTGTTGAGTACAAAGTAAACAAGTGACTGAGGCTGCTGGAAGCACAAAGGTGATTCAGATAGTAAAAAAACAAAAACAAAAATTCAAACTAAAAAAACCAAACAAACAATAACCCTGCGGTTTCTTTTACTCTTTTTTTTTTGGTGTTTTGCTTTTGTTTTCCTTAAAAACAACAACAAACCAACACACACACTGCACAACTGCTTCCACACTTGAGCAGCCTGTCTATTCTAAGGGAATGGGTGGGAGAGGGAAGGGGGGAGGGGAAGGGAGGGGAGGGGGAAATAGGCTGTGATGCCCAGCACATTTCAGAAGCGGGGAGCAGCAAGGAGGGTGCTGCTGCTCATGCAGAAGGCCCAGCGCTGGTCTTACTGGGCTCGCTGACACACCGCTTCCTCATGGCCTCCTGAGTCAGGTCACAGGGGATCGTGCCATGAGCAACCTGGGAAGCGCCTGAGTCCTCTGGGGATTCCAATACAGTTGTCATGAATGGATGATTCCACTTCCCGAAGAAGAAGCTTGCCCACCAGTGGCCTGGGTCTGATTTGGGAAGACCAGAATGGTGGGGGATCACTTCCCCAGAGTACTCAGCACCTCCACGGGAGCCGTTGCTGGAAGTGGAACCCAGACACCTTCAACAGCAGTCATGGGTTGCTACGAGTGAACCGCTGGACGGGATTGCTGCCACGTGGCTGGTTCGTGTTGTGATGATGTAAAACCTTAGCGGCGGCTCCCGAGCAGCCCCCGCCAGGCAGCGGGCTGGGGCGGGCGATCACAGGTGACCTGGCTCCGGGGAAGGGGGCGCTAGGCTGCAGAGCCCATTTGTGAAGGAGATCACGGGAGGATGCTCCACGACAGCGAACATGCGAGAGTTCCTTGGGTTTTCAGGACTTGACTACTCTTACAAACATATTTCCATAGAAAATAACCAAGGATTCAAACAGGTGGATAAGCTGATTTCTTCCAATGTAACAATGATGGGTACAGCAGGCTGTGCCTTTTGTTTTTAAAAAAATCATCTCTAGGGCCAGGGCTCATCTGCTCAAGTCCCTTCCTTTGTCCCCCTGGGCCTCTCTGATTTCTACCCTCTTACCTTTCGTAGAGCAAATTAATATAGCAGAAGGGGAAACCACCGGGAGCTTGCCAGGCAAGCCGCAAGAGGCAGGTGTGGCCTACTCTATCAAGAACAAGTTTTAGAGTTGGAAGGGTCTTTGGAGGCCATGTGGGACAACGTGCTGATTTTACAGGTGAGGAAACTGAGGCAGAGGGAAGTAAGCGACTGACCCAAAGACACAGAAGAAGGAATAGCACAGCTGGGAATCCAACCCAGACTTTCAGACTTAAAATTTAAAAAACATTCCCACTGTGCAATATTCGTAGGCCCACACGCTCACAGATCTGCACAGTGGATGCACTGCCACACTTAGAGTCAGGAAGACTTGGGTTCAAATCCTGCCTGAGACACTAACTAGCCATGTGACCAAGTCACTGAATTTCTTTCAGCCTTTTTTCCTCATCAATAAAATGGTAATAATAATCCCTGTAGCACTTACCTCAGAAGCTTGCTGTGAGGGTAAAAGTAATAATAAGGGTAATAGCTAGCATTTATGTAGCATTTTTGTTTCAGAAAAACTTGGCAAGATCTATACGAACTGATGCAGCATAAAGTGAGAAGAACCAGAATATCATCGTGCACAGTAACAGCAATGTTGTAATTAGGATCAACAGTGAAAGGCCCGGCTACTCTGATCATACAATGATCCAAGACAATTCTAAAGGACTCATGATGAAAAATCAAAATGCTGTTAACCTCCAGAGAGAGAACCGATGAACTCTGTGTGTAAATTGAAGTATAATTTTCTGTCTCTCTGCCTCTCTTTCCCTCCCTCCCTTTCTTCCTTTCTCTTCTCTTCTTTCCTTCCTTCCTTCCTTCCTCCCTTTTTTTTTTTGCAATATGGTTAATATAAAAATGGGTTTTGCATGATTTTACATGTACAACTGATATATTGTTTGCCTTCTCAGTGGCTGGGGGAGAGGTGGGAGGCGGGAGGGGGAGAATCTGAAACTCAAAATTTAATAAGAAAAGAATGTTAAAAAATAAATAATAAATATATTAAAAAAAATAAAAGTAAACAAATAAAAATCCCCAAAAGCACTAAAAGCTCCTCACATTTCCACAGGGCCTTCCAGGTTTACAAAGCACTTCCCTCACTGTGTTGAGCGCAAAAGTCATTCTGATGTGGCCTGTGCTCCAGTGGTGAATGGTCTTTGCTGCCATCATGCTCCTTCCTCTGCTTCTTAGAATTCTTAGATTCCTCCAAATCACAGCTCAGGCCCCACTTGCCATGAGCACACACATGCTTGCCATATGTGTTGTATGTATCCCCCATCAGAATAGAGACTCTTTGAGGTCTAAGACTTTCATTTTGTTTTTTGTATCTTTGGTACCCTGCACTTTGTTTTTTTTTTTCTTTTTTGTTAGGCAATGGGGTTAAGTGACTTGCCCAGGGTCACACAGCTAGTAAGTGTCAAGTGTTATGTGTCTGAGGCTGGATTTGAACTCAGGTCCTCCTGAATCCAGGGCCGGTGCTCTATCCACTGTGCCACCTAGCTGCCCCAAGTACCCTGCACTGTGTAAAAGTACTTGGTAGTACGGTACTTTGTAATACAATACTTTGCACACAAAAAAATAATAAACCTTGAATATTTGTCAAAATAAATTGAATTCTGCTGATAAGGAAACTGAGATTCAAAGGATGCTTTGCCTAGGACCTCACACTAGTCAGCTACAAATGCCTGGTGACTGGAACTTTGGTATTCTGACTCCAAGTCCAGATCTCTTTTCTCTACAGCATGAGGTTTCTGTGAACCTGTTTCCTTCTCTGTTAAGTGAGAAGATTGGACTAAATGGTCACAGAAGTTTCCTTTCAGCTCTGAATCCTGGGCACCAGATCATTGACTCCTTCACCAGATCATAGCTCTTGAATCTAAATCTGGAAGGGACCTTGGGAGGTCACCAAGTCCAACCTCCTTCATTTTACAGATGAGGAAAGTGAGACCTACAGAGGTCTTGCCAAGAACACACAGCCAGTCGGGGGGCTTGTTGGGATTTGTTGGGTCCCTTTGGATGGTTACCTTCCCACTCCAAACAACTGAAAAATCATTTTCCAGGGTGGGTTCCAGAGGCAGTCTGGTTATCCCACAAATACTGAAGAGTTCATGTTTGAAGTATCTTGAAGTATCCAGTGGCCCCTCAGGAACTTGAAGAAGCTGAGAGACATCCTGAAGTAGGCCTAGACTGAAAGGTAGGTATTTTGGGAGCTAAAGAGAGTGATGACTCACTCAGTGAAACCTATAGTGTATGTGCTGGTAATCTGTGACCTTAGGCCTCTTGGAGTAATTACTCCAAAGGCCCTCTACCTCACTGACACTGCCCATTTTCTCCTCCTCCTCCTCCTCCTCCTCCTCTTCCCCCTCCATAAACCAGTCCTCCTCATCCTCAGACCTGTCCATGGTAATTATCAGTGTCTTCAGAGAGGTGAAGGGTTCCTCAGGGAGGATCATCAACCCAGGTGAGGAGGGATTCAAGGGCACTGGGGAGGCCCTGGAAGACAAACTATCTTCTGAAGGCTCTTCTCCAACCTTTGACTCCTTCAAGAGCATGGGTGATGGCAGAGATGGGCCATCCCCACAGATGCCATCCTCGATCACATAGCTCACGGTACCTGATTCTCCCCAGAAAGAGTCAAACACATTTCCACTGTCTGAAGAGTCCATTACTGGGGAGAGACCGTACCCTGGTTCATGTATCAGGGACTCTGTAGACTCCCAACTCTGTGCCTTTGACTCCGCTTCCCCCATTCCAGTCAGCAGGCCCTTTAAGGAAGGGATTCCAAGGTAAGCGTCAAAGGTTCCACTCTCATCCACATCCTCAGACTCTCCCTCTTCACTCTCCTCCTCATCGTCATGCTCCTCCATCTCTGATGGTTGTGGGATGCCTGGGTTCTTGGATCCTGCATAAGCTTTCCTTCCCTGCCTCAAACTGTTCTTAGGGCAGATGTGCAGGTCCCCGAAAGACTCTTGTCTGTTCAGTTCCAAGATTTTCACAGAGCATTTGTGCCTAGGAAAGTCCTGATTTGGGGTGGAGAGAGGAGAATAGAGCCATTAGGTTTCCGTTTGACCTATGTGGTTTTTCTTTTGGCCCCAGTATGCCCACATCTATCCTGGTGTGGCTGGACCAGATCTCCCCTTGATCTAATTCTCTCTTATTCCTGGAGCAGAGGACACTGGATGTCCCTGCTGACCTCTCAAAAACCCAGTCCCAGAATCCTAGTTAAATGAATCAGAAAGCAGGTGATGAGGTTCTAAGCTTCTCTTGGGAAGGGCTGACCCTACCCTAGGATACTGATATTTTGTGCTTTTGCACGTCCATTTCCTTCCCTGTCCAGGAGGAAGGTCCTTGAGATCCTGCCATGTGAAAATCAGCTGGAGAGGAGACTTAAGCAGGAATGTAATAGTCATCTTCAAGGATCTGAAAAGGATCAAAGGGGAGAGGGATATGATCTGCTCTCTGCAGCACCAGAAGGCAGAATTAGAGCCAAGGAGGGGAAGCTGCACTAGAACACATTTAGGCTTGATACCAGCTTTCCAAAGTGTCCTGAGAGGTAATGGGCCCCCCATACCTCAAGCTCCTTAAGTGAAGCCTGAATGACCACCTGGTAAGGAGGTCCGAGAGGGTATTTCTGTCCAAATAGGGGCTGGTCAAGAGGAGCTGGAAAGGTATCTCCCAACTCTGAGATTCTCAAATCTTGGGATGTTGGAGACCTCCTCCTTACTGCCTTTCCCTAGCACAGGGGTGAGGAACCTGCAGCCTCGAGGCCACATGTGGCCCTCTAGGTCCTCAAGTGTGGCCCTTTGACTGAATCCAAACTGACTCGTTCTGTGAAGTCTGGATTCAGTCAAAGGGCCACACTTGAGGACCTAGAGGGCCACATGTGGCCTCGAGGCTGCAGGTTCCCTACTCTTGCCCTAGCATCTATCCTTTGCCCTTACCCCCTCACCCCCTTGTTCTCTGCATCTGAAAAACTGATTCTTGAAAAGCAGTTAGTTAATCAATGCTTAAGGTGCTCTCTCTCTCTCTCATTGGGATCCACATTTTGTTAGAGGATTATGGGTCATGTCTAGGAGACATGAGATTTGTGGTATAGTCCCAGTCACTGTCTGACTTTCGCCAAGCCTCTTTCCTTTTCTGGGCCTCAGTTTCCTTCTCTGTAAAATTTGGGGAATTTGACAAGATGACCCCTCAGGTCTCACCCAGCTCTTACACCATTCTAGGTGGGTGGTGCAGCAGATAGAGGGCTGAGTCTGGAGTCACAGAGACCTGGGTTTGAAGCCAGCCTCAGATACTTCTTAGTTATGTGGCCCTGGGCAAGTCACTTAACCTCTGCCTGCTTCATTTTCCTCAACTGTAAAATGAGGATAATAATAGCACCCACCCCCCAAGGCCGTGAGGGTCAAAGGAAATAATATTTGTACAGCATTTAGCCCAGAGTAGCCCTGGCACAGAGTAGGCACTCATAGGCATAGAGGAGGCACGTAAGTGCCTATTCCTCTCTTCTCCTTCAAAGGGCCCTTGCAATACTGACATTCTATGTCTGAAATCCCTACTAATTTTGCTATTCTGTGTTCTAAAGCCCTTCCCAGCTCTGACATCCTGTTTTCTAAGGTTCCTCCCATTTCTGACATTCTCTGTTTTAAGGGCCCTCAGAACTGCTCTGACATTTTGTGTTCTAAGGTCCCTCCCAGCTCTGACATTCTGTGTTCTAAGGGCCCTCCCAGCTCTGACATCTGTGTTCTAAGGGCCCTCCCAGCTCTGACATTCTGCATTCTAAAGACCCTTTCAGTTCTCACATTTTATGTTCCAATGTCTCACCCATCTCTGACACTCTAGGTTATTTGGAAATACAAGAGTGATCATATGACTTTTAAAACCCTCCTAATAGTGGAATTTCAGGCAGCTTGACAAGAGGTGAGTGATGTATTTCAGGCCTTCCTGACGCTCCTCATTATGACATGGCTAGTCAGCCCCTCTCACTCTGTGTGAGTCTTGCCCTGCCAGTGAGGACTGCACCAATGCAGATTAGAGTTCCCTCCTCTCCTCCAACCATCTTTGACATACCAGGCTCTGAGGCATCTTTTCCTGCTGGAAATAGATATCCTTTAGGCAGTACATCCAGGGCAGAGGGATAATAGACAGAAGAAATAGCAGCAAGAATGGCTTCCTCTGCTGGGTTCCTGGGGAGAGAAAACAAAATGGGAGCCCTCTGATCCTTGGGTGTACCAAGAGACTTGTGGGAAAATCTTCCTCTTTGGCCCCACCTGGCCCCATCCCATAGTCTTCTCCTTCCAGGTCTCACCTGGGGTCTCCAGCAGGAAACAGACTGGTTGGGAGAACTCGCTGTACTTGGGGATGATTAATAAGTAGATTGTCCGCGCACTCAGGCAGTAGCACCCAGCAGAAGCCGGGGAGAGGGGGATCTTCACCTCTGTCCCATGGAGTGTGGCCTGGGACCGGGTCTGTCCAGGAGAAAAGAAAAGGGTAACCCAGAATGATTGCAGCGGGACTGACTTCTCTTGATATTTTAGAAGGGCGCCTGGTTTGAGTAGAAGTGCATTCTGTTATGGACCAGTTTAGTCTGAGAGGCCTATGGGACATCCACTTCAAAATGGCGAATGGGCAGCTGGTGATATGGGAATGAAGTGAGGGAGAGAGATAGAGAGACACAGGCTAGATATTTTGATCTAGGGATCCTCAGCATAGGAATTATAGTTAAATCCACGAGAGCTGATGAAGTCATAGAGAGAGGGTAGAAAGAGCTGGGAAGAAGGTCCTGGTCAGAACCTTGAGATCACATACAGTGAAGGGAGCACATAATATAGATGATGATGATATAGCAAAGGTGGAGGGCTATGGGCCCAGAATGTTGCATACTACTGTTAGACTCAGTTGAAGTGTTGGGTGGTTTTCTCTCTGTCTTTTTTTTATTCTTTATTACACAGTATGGCTTTCTTGCCAGAGGAAGGGGGGGGTGTATTTGGAAATGAAGGTGATGTAAAAAAACCCCAAAATATATCAATAATTTTAAAAATAAAGGTATTAGGCTTTATCACAGGCTAAAATAAAGAGAATGAGGCAGAAGATGGTTTGGCAGGGAGTGAGAGGGATGTAGAAGACCCTGGGGGGTGGGCAGGGCATGCAGGAGGGAAAGTGCTGATCTGTATTCTTTACCTTGTTTGGGCTCCCCTCCTTCCAGAATTCCACCTCATATTTCAGGTTCATCAAGCTTACACAGTGGGGCAACTTATAGGTGGCATTGATGCTTAAGGTCTCCTTGGTCCGTATCCATGTCAGATTGGGTGGGGCTGGTTCCACTATCACATACAGAGCAGATCAGTCAGTAGGGATAGAGAGTAGTGGAGGGCTCTTCCCAGGTTATCTTATCTGTCTCTCTGCCTCTAGGGAGGATAGCTCCTTACCTAGGCTAGAAACACAGGATCTTCCACCCTCTGCAAGGCTCTGTAAAAGAGTCTATGTCAGGAAGTATCTATGACTTCTCTCCCTCCTGTTTCAACCCTCAGCCTTAGAGGACTTGTTAACATGCCACTGGAAAAAAAGCCTCTGGATTTGAGGTTGGTGGACCTGGGTTTGATTTTCTGAAGGATGGGGTGGAAGGGGTGGGGGATGTCAGATGAAAATCAAGAAAGGAAGGCTTCTTGTAGGAGGTGACCTCAGATGAGGCTTGAAGGGAGCTAGGAATTGTGGGAGGCAGGGTGAGGAAGGAAAGCATTTGTAAGAACTTCAATCAAGACAATGGACACCCATCATTCCAAAAGATTGTTGATGAAACACATTGCCTACCCCTGAACAGAGGGGTGATAGATTCAGGATATAGAATAAGAGATAGGTATTATTGTAAAAAAAAAAAAAACAAACCCATGGGAAGAATTTGTTTTGCTAGACCATGCAGTTTAAACCCCACCTTCTGCAGAAAGCCTTTCTGGGTCCCCCCCCCCTTTCCCATCAGCTGCTAATGCCTCCCCTTTCCAATTATCTTCTATCTTTTCTGCTTACCTTGTTATCTCTCCAATTAGAATGTGAGCTCCCTGAGGGAAAAGACTTTTTGCCTTTTTTTGTACCCTCATCCTTTGCATAGTGCCTGGCACATAGCAGAAATACTTGTTCACTCATGGACTGACCAGACTCAACAAGGCTTAGTAACCTATTCTGTATTGGGGATGAAGAATGAGGAAAAGTTGGGGAAGGCTCTGAGGTTTTGAACCTGGGTAACCGGCCAGAAATAGGGAAATTTGGAAGAGAACCCATTTGGACAACAGGGAGGAAGGAGGAAGATAGGAACTATGGTATATGACAGCCATGCAAATGGACATTTGAGGGCCCTGCCACCATCTGGCTTGTGAAGAAATAATCATGGCAATTGAAGACACATTACGCTGTTATCACTATGGAGAACATTAGTGTGTTGAGAGCCTCTGAGACTGCTGGAATACAAGTTCCCTCTGCTAACAGACTGCGAGCAGCCTATAATCTATCATTTTAGAGTTATCTGAGGCTGAGACTGAATGATTTGTCCATAGCTACATAATCAACGGTGGGATTTGAAACTAGGTCTTCTCAATTAGCACTGTAGCCATGACATCACGCTACCTCTTAAAAATCAATACTATTCTATAGTATTTATCAACAATTTTTAAATTATGGAATATTTTTGACAGTAACGGGTACCACCATTGCCTCCCTTTCTTCCTCACCCCCTACCAGAACCCCCATGAAGAGGAAGAGAAACAGAAGCTTACCATCAAAGAGATAATCCATGTAAGTAGGGGATTCTGCCCACAGGGAATAGGTCCCAGGGGCCACTGCCTGAACTTGCCCCTTGTATTTGATGTATAGACTGTGATTCTCCAGGCAGGTGAGGTCACACTCCTCCATGGTAATCCCCATACAATGTTTGACCTTCCTCCAGCGCTCATTTTCAAAGCTGTGGAAAGAGCGAAGGATACATTGTAGGCTGATAAGTCTAGAACTGGGAGACCAGCAATTCCAACATGTTCATTTTACAGAGGAGGAAACTGAGGAACAGAGAGGTTACGTGACTTTCCAGGGTAACACAGGCGTAAGAGGCGGCTAATAGGGGTCGTGGCGGTAAGTGGCTACCCTCTCTGCTCCTCCTCCCGACTCCTAGTGTCTATGATGGGTAATTTCCTCGGTCACAACTAGGACCCCTCCCCCAGTGATCACATACAGGCCATCCAAGTAACTCTTTTAAGTCAGAGAACATCTCTGGAACTCAGTTTCCACATTTGTGCTACACAGATAATGATAACCTGCACTACCAGCCTTGCCAGATTGCTGTGAGGACAAGGACTGTAGGAATGTGAGCTGTTGTTATCATTCACGGCCCAGTTGAGTCTCCTTGGGGGACTCCCAGAAGCCCAGGAAGTCAGAAGTGGAGAGGATCTGAGACTATCCAGCCTAGACTCTGATCGGAGGCCTCCATGATGGAACACTTATTACTTGAATCCTGTTGGATTGGATCATGGGCCAGCCCATTCCACTTTCATGATTAAATTACAAAACTAGAGCTTGAAGGGACCTCAGAAATTTTCTACCCCATTCTTTCCCTTCATAAGCCCAAAAGGGTGAGCAGCTTGCCTGGCATCATAAAGGGTAGTAAGCATCCCAGGTAGGATTTGAACCCAAGACCTCGGACTCTGACATGCTGCCAGTCCTTAGGATGGTCTTCTTTGCATTGAATTGAAATCCACTTCTTTATAATTGTCCCTACCACCCCATTCTCCCCTAGTTTGGCTCTCTGGAACCAAATAGAACCAGGCTTTGCCATGTGACCACCTCTACATACTTGAAGTCAGCTATCCTGCACCTTCAAGTCTGATCTTCTCTCACCTAAGCAGGCCATTTTTTCCAACCAATCCTTGCAGGGCCCATTCCAGCACTCAGTCTGGTGCCTGGCACAAAGTAGATAATAAAGGTTTGTGGACTGACTTGCTGACTGGCCTCCAGGCCTCTCACAATCCTCTGCCTGAGGTCTACTTTATGTAGGCTGCTAGATAGAGTAGTGGGTTAACAGTGATGGCCCTGGAGTCCAGAAGACTTGAGCTCAAATTCTGACTTGAGGCACTTACTAGTTGTGTGAGCCCAGGGAAATCACTCAACCTTCTAGAACCTTCTAGACGCAGTTTTCTCATATGTAAAATCAGAAGGTTGAACTGAATGGCCTCTACCAATATAGAATCTATGGCCCTAATTCTGTGAACTTCTTGAGAGCAAGGGTGTATATCCTTTTCCCTCTCCCCACCCCCAAATCACCTAGTGGAAGGCTGGATTTTACTTAATACTTCATATTAGTATTTGTTAACTTGAATTGAATCAAAGCAGCTAGCCCAGTGAAGCTGTAGGCCTCAGTCAGCCTTGGCCTTCCCCTGCAGTCTCTCCATACACCTTCCATAACTCCCCCAGTCCCTGTCCTCCCTCCAGCCTTATCCATCTCCCCTCCCTCAAGCCTGAAACTTCTACCTACCTCTGATACCTCACCACATAAGTCACATTGAGGGGATAGTTGGGTCCTGGGCGCCATGTCAGGTATACCTTGAAGTTGCGGGAAAGCATCGTCACGTTCTGTGGACGGGCCAACTTTGGGCTCCCTGTAGGGTTAGACAAGGTTGTCTGAGACCCCATTTTTGGGCTTTCCCATCACCACTTCCAGGCTCTCCCTCTACCAGTAGTATTGCTTTTGTCTGACTCTTCATGACCCTATTTGGGGTTTTCTTGGCAAAGATATTGAGCAATTTGCCATTTCTTTCTCCACCTCATTTTACAGATGAGGAAATTGAGGCAAACAGTGACTTTCCCAGGATCACACAGCTAGTAAGTGAGCCTGAATTTTTTCACATTTATTTATTTTTAATAAAAATAAGCATTTCTATAACACAGTATAATAAAAAGATGATTGTACATGAAATGACAAATCTATTATGTACAACTTGCTATTCCTTTTAAATATTTAATAAAGTTATCATGTAAATTTCTTTTTTTCTTTTTTTTTTTCCCCTCTCCCCAGGTCTTTCTGATTCCTGGTCTAGTGCCTACCCACTGCGCCACCTAGCTGCCCTCTACCAGTATAACAATAATAATGAAAACAGTAACACATATATAGTGTTTTAAGGTTTACAAAGGCTTAAGGTTTATTATCTCATTTTATCCTTACAACAACCCTGGGAGATGGGTGATCTTAGTATCCTCATTTTGCAGATGAGGAAACTGAGGCAGAAAGAGGTTAAGTGACAACCAGGGTCACAGAGCTTAATATCCACTGTACCACCTAGTTGCCTACCACCATTATGAGGTAGCCTTCCCTTGTTTGACCTTCACAGGACCCAAACTTATTGCCCAAGTCATAAGCTAACTGCTGTTATCTAGTCACCCTCGGGGCATTCTCCATCTTCCTCAATGATTTGGTGCCCTGTTCACAGTCTCCCTCTCCATCCCAACTCTTGCCCTCATATGTGGGGACTTCAACATACATGTCGATGTTCCCTCAAACAATCTAACTTCCCATTTCATCAACTACTCAACTCTCATCTCCAATTACTTCTCTACTCCACCTCAGCTACATACAGGGACGGCCACAGCCTCGACATTGCCATCACTTCCAAGTGTTCTATTTCCCTGTTCAAACATGCGTGAGGGATTGTGTGTTGTAGAATATCTGGGTTGGACTCCTGGCTCAGACACTTACTCCCTGTGTTTGGACACCATCCTCCTCCCAGTTACCCTGGCTCACAATCTAGGTGTCCTTACTGATACCTTACTCTCTCTCACCTCCAATAGCCAATCAGTTGGCAATTCCATGGTTTGTCAACTCGACCTTCATTAACATCTCTGCCTCCTCTCCTCTGACACTGCCGCCATCTTAGTACAGGCCCTCATCACTTCACTCCTGGACTATGGAAATAGCCTGTTGGCAGATCTCCCTACCTCCAACCTCTCCTTGATCCAGTCTGTCCTCCACTTAGATGCCATACTAAGCCTCCTAGAGTGCAGATCTGACCAGGTTCTACTTCTAGTGACCACCAAAATGGCAGAGGACACCAGTGCTGCAAGGGAATGCAAGAGACCAAGGTGGCTTTCTCCTCCATCCCCAACCCCCATTCAATAAATTCCAGTGGCTCCTTTCTACCATTAGAATAGAATATGGAATCTTATTTGGCTGTGAAAACCCTTCAGAACCTTGCCTCTTTTTATAAGTCTTATAAAATGGAAGAGTTAGACTCAGTGACTTTTCTGGTTCTAAACCTATGATCCTCTGAACTCCAAAATGCCTTTATCCAATCATGATCTTTTATCGTTTCATTTCTCCTTATGTTTTGTGACCCTTATTCTCTGTCCTCACTGTGTTGATGACTCTCACTGCTTTCCTAGGCCATCATCCCACTTCCCTTCCCAATTTCAATGCCTTGCCCTCTTTTCTTATTAATTGCTCATCATGTCTTCCCAACGCTCAAACCAGGATTACTCCCCTCAGATTCCTCCTTTGTTTCTATGCTGTGTACTGCTGAACAGAGTTGGAGGAAGTCACAAAACCAAGATGACTGAGTCCACTACAAATTTATGTTATTGAATCTCAGCTAGGCCCTCATTGAAATAAGGCAATCTTTCTACTCCTCTTTAATAATCTCTTTCCCATTTTCAATATTAGCTCTTCCAAACCTCCTTTTCCTTCCTTGAACTTCCCCTGGCATCTCTCTCCCCCATTCTCTCAGCTGAGGACCTCGATGGTCCCCTCCTCCCCATCAGCCTTCCTTTCTATTATTACCTTCCACTTCTTCTGTACATCCTGTATGTACCTATTCACATGACTCCCACATTTGAATGTCATCTCCTTGAGGGCAGGGCCTTTTTCTGCTTTTTCTTCTTATCCTCAATGTTTAGTGGGATGCCTGGCACAAAATCAGCACCTAACAAATGCTTGTTGATTAAATGTTTGATTGTGCCTCAGTTTCCCCATCTGTAAAACAAGGGTGTTGGACTGGGTGGCCTCTGAGATGTCTTCCAGGTCTTAATCTAGGATCCTGGGACCCTATGGTAAAATAGAAAGTGAAAGCGAGGGAGATCTTGGGTTCAAATTTCAGTTCTATGTACTTTCTACAGAGTTCCACTTCTCTTCCCAACCTCTGACCAATTCAATGAATGATTTCTATTGTACTGGGAAAGTCTAATCCATGCTTCTGAGAACTGGGTTTGGGCTTAGTGGAGAGGAGTGGTAACAATGGATTACAAAACAAATGTCACTTCTGGGAAGTGTGGACACACCTTTCAGCTGTAAATTCTCAGGGGCAATTTCCGGAGCAGGGCATTTCAATGTTTACTCGTTCTAAAATCATAATATAAGCAGAGCTAAAAGAGGCCAGAGGGACCCATTAGTCCAACTGCTTTATTAGAAGGCATTGCGGTATTAAGCAAAAAGCAATGGATTTGAAGTTAAAGGGCCTGGGTTCAAATCCCAGCTTAGCCACCCCCTGTGGGACCCTAGGTATGGCAGTGCATCTACCTGGGCCTCAGTGGCCTCATGAGAGCACTGGGCAAGATGTCCTCTAAGGGAACCTTGAGCTCTAGGTTTAGATCCTAGAATCTTATGACAGACGGGGAAACAGAGGCACAGAGAAGGGGGGAAATGACTTGCTCAAAGTCATGTGGCTAGTTAAGTGGCAGGGCCAGGTCCTTCAGTCTCTAGATATTATTTCCTGAAGTTTCAATTTCTTATCAAACAGTGATGCCATTTCTCACACTTTCTACCTCTAAGACTGTCTTGAGGAAAGTGCTTTGGAAACCTGATGGTGCTGTATGTGAGTTATTACAGTTCTAACCCTTAGGAGAAGCTTTCAGGCACTCAGGTAGATGCAGCTCCACATAGATAAGCCTGAGTGTGTCTCACTGTGGGCCGAGCTCACATTTGCCCAGATTAAATGATTTCCTCTCATAATGGTATCAGGAATACCTACGTGATACTGTAGATGGGGGGAGGGGGGACTTGCTGCCCCGAGGCCACATGTGGCCCTCTAGGTCCTCAAGTGTAGCGCTCTCATTGAATCCAGACTTCACAGAACAAATTCCCTTTTGTTCTGTGAAGTTTGGATTCAGTCAAAGGGCCACACTTGGAGGGACCTAGAGGGCCACATGTGGCCTTGAAGCCATACCTTCTCTATCCCTGGGCAGAGTATTAGTCTTGGAGCTAAAAAGACTTGAGCTCAAATCCTGCCTCAGACACTTACTAGCTCTGTGCCTCAGTTTCCTCATCTGTAAAATGGGAATACTATCACCTACTTCCCAGGATCCTCCTGAGGATTAAATGAGTTGATACCCAGAAAGCATTTTGCAAACCTTAAAGCATTAAGTAAACATTGGCTATTATTATGAATAGCTGCAGGACAATTCTCCCAGAGGCAATGCTTATGCTGAGGGAAACAGCATGGATTCTGATCTAGCAAGCCTGCGGTACTTTTCCTAGAGTAGGAACGGCCAGGGAAAGCAGCAGTGGCATAGATTTCTTGCTAGGAGGGCCCTCGGAGATCATGAGACTCAAACCTCTCATTTTACAGATGAGGACACTAAGCCCCAGCAAAGGTTAGACAGCCTGCCCACTATAAGGAATGCTCCCCTGCCCTTCCATCTTAGAAACCGCTGTCCTGGATGAAAAGTGACACGAACTGAAAATGGCTGAGGTTGGCCCCAGAGAGGAGATAGGAGAAAATGCCTCCTGTGCAGAGGTGAGGGACCACAGGAGTGGAATGCCACATCTATTGTCAGACTTGGCAGAGTTGGTGGCTAATTCGATTACATTTATTTTTCCATTGTTTTTATTTTGCATTATAAGGAATGGCTATCTTGGGAGGAATTAGAGAGGGATACAGTGATATCAATAGCAAACAAAAAGTATCAATGCTATTTTTATATACTGCATACTTTTGTTTTTTATTTATTGATTTTTGTTAGGCAGTGGGGCTAAGTGACTTGCCCAGAGTCACATAGCTAGTTAGCGTTATGTGTCTGAGGCCAGATTTGAACTCAGATCCTCCTGACTCCAAGGCTGGAGCTCTATCCACTGTACCACCTAGCTGCCCATGCATACTTTTTATTTATTTTTATTAATTTATTTTGATTTATCAACAATCACTTCCACATGCTCTTGAGTTTAAAATTTTTCTCCCCCTTCCTTCCCACCACCCTCCCCAAGATGGCACACAATCTAATATAAGCTATATATGTACATTCTTATTAAACATATTTTCAGATTAGTGATGTTGTAAGTAAAAATTGGAACCAATACGAAGAACCACAGAAAGAAGAAACAAAACTCAACAGAAGAGAAAAAAATAGCAAATAGTATGCTTCGATCTGCATTCAAATTCCATACTTCTTTCTTTGGATGTGGATAGCATTTTCTATCATGAGGCCCTTGGAGATGTCTTAGATCCTTGTATTGCTGGGAAGGGTTGAGTTTATCAATATTAGTCATTGCATAATGTGGCTGTTATTGTGTACAAAGTCCTCTTGGTTCTGCTCACTTCACTCAGCATCAGACCATACAAGTCTTTCCAGGTTTTTCTGAAGTCAGCCTGCTCATCATTTTTTATAGCACAATAGTATTCCATTGCATTCATATACCACATGTATACTTTTATATAGTATGATACTATATATATTAGTGAACGAAAGGAAAGAAAGCAATGTACTTGAGGCATTTTCTATTCCTGAGGCCTTTGACCTAGAAGAGGCCACCCAGATATACCTGGGAAGATGGCTTCAAAAGTCTTTTTTAGTTTGAAATCCTGGTTTTGCTCCAATCAGCAAGCATTTATTAAATGCCTACTGTGTGTCCGACACTGTGCTGGGCACTGGTTAAGTCATTTTCCTCCCTTGGCTTCAGTTTCTTCTTCTGTAAAATTAGAATGTTGGCCTAGATCGAGGGGTTCTTAACCTTTTTTTGCATCATGGATTCCTATGGCAGACTGGTGAAACCTCTCAACCCCTACCGAGAATGATATATATGTGTGTGTGTGTGTTATATATATATATATATATATATATATATATATATATATATATATATACATACACACACACATTATATATACACATATATATATATATTTTAAATATGGATATAAATTTTTTCCCATCCAAGTTTATGCCCTGAATTTACACCTCAGATTAAGAATCTCTGACCCAGATATTCTCTAAGGCCTTTCTAAGTCTAAATCCTATGATAGCATAACTATTGCTGGGCCTTTGATGAGGCCCATGGGTAGGGAAAAGGGGTGAAAGGAAAAGTCGTATCAGAGAGTTTTATGTACCCTGCAGTTTATTTTGGGGATGAGCTCTAAAATCCAGAAAAGGCAAATAAACAATTTACTCTGGGTTACACAGGGGGCCAGTGGCAGCTCTAGGACTGATTCCCAAGCTACCCTTGGCCCCTGTAGCAGGTCAGTGCAACCTAGGACAAGAACCTAAGATTCTCAGAAAGGAGAGAAAGGGGAAAGGGAGAGAGAGTGTGTGTATATAAAAGGTATATCTGCAAGGGGTTTAAGAAGGAAATGTGTGATCCATTAGAAACTACACAAAGCTAGAATTCAGAAGAGAAACCTGGATTCTAATGCCAGCCCGTACCTTTGGCTTTCTGTGGAAAATTGAACAGTCATTTCCTCTCTCCCTGCCTGTTTCTTCCTCTAAAATTAGGCAGCTAGGGGGCTCAGTGTTGGGCCTGGAGACAGAAAGACCCTAGTTCAGATTTGGCCCATGTAACCCTGGGCAAGTCATTTAACCTTGTTTGCTTTAATCCACTGGAGAAAGGAAATGGCAGACCACTCCAGTGCCTTTGACAAGACATGCTCCATGGAATTATGAAGAATCAGACACAACTGAACAACAGCAAAATGAGGGTAACCATACTACCAGTACCTTCCCTCACGAGGCTGCTGTGATACAAGGCAGAATAACAGAATGTCAGAACTGGAAGGGGCCAAAGGCATCTTCAAACACAAGAAAGTCAGAGCTAGAGGGAACCTTAGAACACAGAATGTCAGAGCTGGGAGGGCCCTTAGAACAGAACGTTAGAACTTGGAGGGTTGTTAGAACATAGACTGAGCTGGGAGTTGGGAGGGTTGTTAGAATATAGAATGTCAGAGCTGAGAAAGGCCTTAGAGGGTGGAATGTTAGAAGGGAGAGAGGTCTTAGGTTATGGAGCGTCAGAACTGGAAGGGGCCAAAGGGACCTCAGATATCACACCCAACTCACTTGCTTCCAAACGAAGAACCTGTGATCCAGGGAGGTATGAAAGCATTTTCAGAACTTTAAAGATCCAGTTACAAAATGCTAGGCAAGGCAGTGCTACTGTTGTGTTTGGACTGGAACTGTGATTTCATTGGTTCAGGAGCTCCCAGTGAGGAAATTCTCTCCTTCGAACCCTAAAGAGATCCCGGTGGCACTTGAGACTTTCCCACTGAGTTTCTTGAGGTCACACCCTCAGTATCTATCACAGTGCACAGGTCTTATTGGGTCTTTATCCTCTGCCTTCTCATTATTATTAGTGTCTGGTTTCCCCAGCTCGCTTGGCAAGAACGTGGCCTGCTTGGGGCTTGCACCGAAGAAGGAGGGAGGGAGAAAAGGGCGCGGGGGGGCGGGGAAGGGGACGGGGTTGGGAGGGGGGAGAAGGGAAGGAGAGAGAAAGGAGGGAGGAAGAGAACACTAGACACACGTCAATGCTTCCCTGGAAGCAAAAAAAAAAAAAAAGACGCTGGATTCAACAATCTCTAGGCTGTCTTCCAGCCCCGACACTGCAAGTGTCTGAGGAGACTGTACTCACAAGACCCGGAGAAAGCAATTCCAAATCTCGCAGACCGCTGGCGGAGCGTCCCCGCCATCGGTCTTTCCCACAGCTGTCCAGGGGGCCGGCCACAGCCTCCATCCGTCCCCCGCCCCGCTGTGAGCTGGGACCTAGTCTTCTCCCAGCCGGGGTAGACTTTACCTGGCGCTGACTGCAGAAGGCAGAGGAGCAGCGGGGCCCAGAAACTGCCCTTGACCATCGTTGGGGGCTCCCGGCCCGGCCCAGCTTGGCTCGGCTCGGCTCGACTCGGCTCGGCTCTCAACCGCCCCCTCCAGCCCCGCGCTGGCCAGGCTCTCCCCAACAGGGCCCGGCCTTTCCGCACCTGTCCCTTTTCTTCCTCATTCGGCTGGGGCTTTCCCGAACCGTTGTGGGGGAAATCTGCCACCCAGGATGACAACTCGCGAGGCTGATCCTTCACCCAGAGTAAAGGTCAAGGGCGTGGAGTGGATTGGAGTGGGAGGAGAATGGGAGGCGCATCTCAGCCCCAGTCCCCAGTCCCCAGGCCGGGGCGAGTGTGGTGCAAAGCACGCACAAGGCGGAGTGGTGTACCCAGCTGTAACACTAAACTCCCTAGCCACTTCTCTTAAAAGGACGGCTTGAATACCTCGAGGTGATCTCTGCTGCCGCCAGGACAGTTTATCGGGGCCTGATGCGGGGCTTGGGGTTCTGATGGTGCTTGGTCTGTGTTTCATCTCCCTCTAAGACTCGGGGAAGGCGCTCGGGCAAGGCGGGTCCTTAAACTTTCTTCTGGGACAGTGAGGATATGTGTGGGTCTCCTCATCAGACTGGGGCTCCCCGAGGGGCAACTTTCTCCTTAAAGCAGGACACCATTTGCCCCTGTGACGTGGATCTCCCTAGGCATAGGAGAAAGTTCATGCTCCGTTTGTGTAGGATAGAAAAGGTGGGACAAAGATCCGATATCTCCTCTTCAGAAAGAGGCATGTGACCCTCCATTCAGATGGGGAACTCCTTGGGGTCATATCATTCATGTTAAACATTTGCGAACCTTAAAGCCCATGTAAACGTCATTTTCACCCATACCGTGTGGAACGAGAGAGGACGTAGGTTCAAATCCTGTCTCTGATGTGCACTGACACTGTGGCCTTGGGCAAGTTACCTAGCCTCCCTGGGACTCAGTAAAGGCCTCTGACGTGCCTTTTAATTAGATTTATGATTTTCTGATGCCAGGTCAGGTCAAGGACTCCCCAGCGCAAGAACTAATCAACAAAGCATTTATTAAGCTCCTACTATGTGCCAAGCACTGTATCTGGGCGGATCCAAATATAAAGGTAAGATAGTCCCTGCCCCCAAGGAGCTTACATTCTATTGGGGAGCTTCCTGAGGGCAGGAACTATGACTCCCCTTAAGATCCCCTGGAAGTTCCTCTAGGGCAAGTCACCATATCCCTCATCAAACCTGGGGTTCCTAGAGGTCAGGGTCTATGTCTGTGTCTCTCCCAACAGACTAAAATGCACTTCGAAGACTACCCAGAGGTCATCAGCAATACAATCCAGGGGAAAGAACACTGAATTTTCCCATCCAATTTAGAATTATGGGACCTGAATTCAAATTCAGCTTTATCATTTAAGTCCTGTGTGACTATGGGTAAATCTCTTAGCCTTTCTGTGCCTCATCCTTCTTCATCTGTAAAATGAGACAGCTAGACTAACCGGCTTCTAAGGCCCCTCTCAACTCTGGGTTTATGCTCCTATGAGCCTGCAAGCATAGGGAACACAAAGAAATATGGACAGACCTTTATCAAACAATGCAAAGCAAAAGCCAAAACAAACAAACAAATGAAACCGAAAAGGACATGTCAACAAGACCCATGAAAGAAGGAGGAATGGAAACAGCCAAAGAATCTGAATGAAAACTCAGGGTAAGTACCTGAAAAATGGGGTTGAAATGAATTCATTTAGATACAAATAGTTGAGAAGCAGGCCCAACTGCTGCCCTGATATTTAAATCCCCATCTAGCTGCCAGCTGCTATTGTAATCATTATGTGATTATTCACCTAAGGAGTTCACGAAACCATCAGAACAACTTGACAAGAATTTCCAGGTAAGCTTGCCTACCTCTAGTTTAAGAAAATTCAAAATTTCACAAACCCATAGAGGTTCTGGGGAAATAAACTGGTGAGAATCCATCTGAAACTGGGAACTCTGAGCCCACTGTCAGCTAGCTCTGGTCTCAGGTGCCTCAGAAAGTGAAAGGAGATATTTACAGGAAAGGAAACTGGGCAGTACCACTTCTTACTTCTATCTTTGTCTTGGTATCTGTTTTTGTCTCAATGTTTGTTTCTTTCTCATGCTTTGTCTTTTGATCTCACACCAATGTCATTCTGACTGTATATTCCTGTAATTTCATTCATCCATCTATTCATTCATCCATCCATTCATCTTTTCAGTCATTCAGAATTTTATTTAGTGCCTACTGTTAGCAGAGCACATTGTGGTAAGTCTTAGGAGAGGTAAAAATAACCAAGATATATGGTCCCTGTCCTCAGGGAACTCCCGGTCTAGTAGGATCATAGTTAGAGCTGGAAGGGGCATTGGAGCACACCTCATCTGACTTTCTTATTTTACTGATCAGCAAAATTGAGGCTCACATAGGAGAATAAAACACAAGCTTATGTGATGGGGACTGCAAAATATCTCCCACTCCCATGGTTGCAAGCCTGTAGCTTATATACCCTTGGTATAGCTGTTTGGACTAGCTGTGGCTAGAAATCTTTCAGGAAGTAGCCCAGGAATAACTGGAATAGCCTGGCCCAAGCGTGCCGAAGGAAGATGGGAGCTGGAAATTGGAATGGGTTGAAAGTGAGACACTCCTCCAAACCCCAAGACTCAGCGCATATGTGAGTGGGAATTTTTCATTCATGCACTAGGAGAGACGGGAGGTAAGTAGGATTGAGTTACCTCAGTGGTACAATGAATAGAGTCCTAGAGTCAGGAAGACCTGAATCCATAATCCAGCCTCAGACACTAGGTGTGTGACCTTAGGTAAATCACTTAATCTCTCTTTGCCTCATTTTCCAATTTGTAAAATGAAAATAATAGCACCTACCTTCCAGGGTCATTGTGAGAATCAAATTAGTATTTGCGAAGCACTTTGCAAACCTTAAACCTCCATAAATGCCAGCTATTATTATTATTATTACCCTAAGCCAAGAAAACAGAGATGGCTTAATTAAATGGGGCAAGAAGAAAGATTTCCTACAGCACTTAAAGATATTACAGTCAATAAACATTTATTAAGCATCTACTATGTGTCAGGCACTGTGCTAAGCACTAGGGATACAAAAAGAAGCAAAAGACATTCCCTGCCCTCAAGGAACTCACAATCTAGTGGAGAAGACAATAAGCAAACAAATATATGCAAGCTCTATGTGGAGATAAACACGAAGAAAATTTAAAGAGGGAAGGTACCAGAATTTAGAGGGATTGTGAAAGGCTTCCAGTAGAAGGTGGGATTTTAGTTGGGACTTAAAGGGAGCCAGGGAAGCCAGGAGACAGAGATAAAAAGGAAAAGGATCCTAGGCATAAGGGACGGTTAGAGAAAATGCCTGAAATTGAGAGAGCAAAAAATAAGGTGTTTTTTTTTAAAAATGGAGAGTTCAAATTCTGGGTCATGGAATAGTAGACTAGACACTCCTTAGTTACTACTAACTCTCAACAAACCTCTAAAATCCCAAAGAGGAATTATGCACCAGACATAGAGGAATTATAACTGAATCCACAGGGTGACAAAGAGTTTTCCAATAAGGTAAAGAACTTCATGAATAATATCTGAAAACATGAATCCTTAAAGTACTCACTCATTACCCTTCTGTCCCTGCAGGGACATACAAACCGCACTGCAAACTTATGCTTAGGGTTCCAAATGGGATCTCCTTCTGCTGCAGGAACCTTACTGACACGCTTCACTTCCTGTCCACCCTCCACTGGCAATAAATGGCAGACTTTGATTCTGTTCACTCATGTGAAGAAGAACGGGGTCGGGGTTGGGGGGCGCCGGGGAGTTCCAGGAGAGAAAGCATGCTGTCCTCTGCCTAGGGCAGCCCCTAGGTTAGAAATCCCCAAAACTGCAAAGACTCTTTCCAGAACACTTTCCATACCTTACTTCCTCCCTTAAAAAAGCAGTAAATGTTGATTTAGCCCAGCAAAAGAAAGGGGAAAAGTCACGAGAGGAACTAGGGCAAAGAACCCTGAAAAAAGGGGGCTGAAATTCAATCAAGGCCAGTCCTCTCTCCTCAGAGGATTCTCAGGGCTTGGACCAAAGCCAGTGAAAGCTCAGTCCCCAAACATAAGAGGAGGCTGAAGTAGTTTTACAATCCAGTCCTAGCATGGTAACTACCAGCAAAGGTGTTGGAGTCAAAATGTAAAAAAAGGGTAAGAGCCAAAAGATTTCAAGACAAAGAAAACTTAATAAAAATTCAGAGCACACGCAGACAAATCAACAGAGCATATGTTAACACCAGAAGGAAGGATGAATACTAAATCACTAAATTCTCAGAGATATTACACAGCTACTTTAAACCACAAGACAAAGAGAACCCATGCTTGGTGAAACACACGATCCTATAGAATTCCAAAAAGCATGTAACAGAAACAGGAAATTCCCGAATGGTTAAAAAAATGTGTAAGAGAAGAAATTAGGAATGATTATATGTCAGCATTTATAGCTCTTAAGGCAGAATTAAAAACTCAGCTAGAACGCAAGAATCTAGGAAAACTCCAAAGGACTCACGAGAGAAATTGCTAACCACACTCAGAGAAAGAAATATGGAGTAAGAATACAGATGGAAGCATACTATTTGCTCTCTTTTTCCTTTGTTGCTTTGTTTCATTGCTTCATTCTCATAGTTCCTCCCATTGATTCTCATTGTTCTTTACATCACGACCAATGGGAAAATATACTTAACATGAATGTATATGTACAGCCTGTATCAGATTGTATGCCATCTTGGAGGTGGGGGAAGAAGTGGGAGGGGAAGAAAATTTAAAACTCAAAATCTTACGGAAGTGAATGTTGACAACTAAAAGCAAATAAATTAATTTTTAAAAAGTCAGCTAGGAGATGAGAGAAAAATTAAATCCACGTTGGAAAGTTTTTCAAAAGAAGCTAAACAGAAATTAATAAATTTGGAATACAAAAATATAGAAGTAGAGGAAAATTTGATGGATGAGAAGCAAAATACTTAATATTGTTACATTAAAAGAATACCCGATCTCTATACAAGCAGTCATTGACCTTGAATACTGGAGGCACAGAGACAATTTAGGAATCAAACCTCTCTATTTGTGCAAAAACATTTATAGCAGCTATTTTGATAGTGGTAAAGAACTGGGAATTGAGAGGATGCCCATCAATTGGGGAATGTCTAAACAAGTTGTGGTATATGTTTGTAATGGAGTATTACTGTGCTATAAGAAATGATGAGCAGGCTGATTTCAGAAAAACCTGGAAAGACATACATGAACTGATATAAAATGAATGGAGCAGAACCAGAACACTGTACACAGTAACAGCAATATTATATGATGATCAACTGTGAATGACTTAGCTATTCTCAGCAATACAGTGATCCAAGATAATTCCCAAGGACTCATGATGAAAAATGCTATCCACCTCCAGAGAAGGAATTTATGGAGTCTCAATGCGGATTGAAGCATACTATTTTTCATTTGCTGTATTTTTTCCATGGTTTCTTTTTTCCTTTGGGTCTGTATGTTTCACAACATGACTAATATGGAAATATATTTTGCACGATTGCACATATATAACCTATATCAAATTGTTTACTCTCTCAAGAAGGAAGGAGGTGAGGGAGGAAAATAGAAAATTAGGAAGTTTAAGTCAAAAATTTTTTTAAATGAATGCTAAAATTATCTTCATATGCAATTGGGGGAAAATAAGATATTATTTGAAAATAAAAAAATAAATATAGCCAAACAAAACAAAAGAAACAAAAATCACAGAGGAACATGACAAATACAAAACCTGACTCCCATTTTGGGGGGAGCAATATCTTAATCTTTGCCTTCATACAAGTTAGGCTAGAATTTCCTTTAAAAGTATTGAAACTAGTTTTGAAACTTAATTGACTCAGAAGGCTTAGGGCTTAGGCTGTTGACATCACTTTCTGGTCATCTGAGTACAAAACAGCCATCAAGAAATCTGATGGAACTTGGATACATGGATCACAGACCATGATGGACAACTCAAGCAAAGGAGCTTAACTCAGCTCGATCAACTTGAGGTGTCCTCGGGTATGTGCTCGTAAAATGTTCAACAATGAGTCATCCTGGGGGAGAAGAAAAAAAAAACACACCCACGCACATTTTTTCAGTTTAATCTACACTATTGACATTTCCCCCCACTACTTTCTTTAGCTTATACAATCAACAAAATGATAAATCAAGCCCTGATTTGTAGCATTTTCTGATTTCTGGAATTTAAATGATCAAACTGAAAATTTAACAATCATCTCTAGAGAGATGGTACCAGCTAGCTCCAGCACACTGATAGCCAACAGATGGCCTCAATGGCTATCTTGTGGTTTATTAACCATTGAATAACCTATGAGTTTTAAATTTTATTCCAATATTGAACTAATATTGGAATAAAATATTAAATTAATAGGGAATTGGCTTGAACCATGCCCCACCCAGAACACACCTAAGTCAGGAAATAACATGAGAAAACAGACCATCAACTGAAGTAATACATAGATCACCTCCATTAAAAATAAAAAAGCACTCTGCTTCACACTCCATTACACATAGAGGTTAAATTTAATAATTCTAATGACAAACATACATTTTGCAAATGGCCAGAAGAGACCTTCAAATATAAAGGGAAAAAATTCAAATAAT